GAGAGAGAGAGAGACCTGAGGAATTGGAAAGAGGAGAAACCAGCATCGCCATCAAAGACGGCAGCAAAGGAAAAGGAATCAAAAGCATTCGGCTTTACAACGACGTCATCTTCCATCTCAGAGCGAGGGCCCTGCACCTCCACTTATTCTTTCTCTCTATCTCATAGCTGCCAATGGGGATTGCTGCACAGCCACCAGCCCTTTCTTTCTCTCTCTACATTTTCTCTCTCTTACATTTGAAAGCCCTAGAGTGGGAATGGAAAACCTCGATTATGAAACAATAGAAAGAAATCAGAGCCTTATAACAAAAAAGAAATCGATATAAGAAGAAAAAACCCTAGAAATGGAGACCTGCCTTTGAGAACAGGGGAGTTTCTTTTATGCGGGTGGTGAGGTTTTACCCATTGAAGCTTTCCGTGAAAGTGGCAGTGAAGGGGTACCCATGGGTTGCCACTGTACTTGTTTAAACAGTGTAGTGGGGAATGTTTAAGTTGTGAATTTCCACTCTTTTACTGTTTCCAAACTCGGGAAAGCTAAGTCGGAACTTTCCCAAAGATTCGCAGTTATCAAACACGGCCTTAGAGAAAGTTTGCACAGCTGATTGGTTCTCTCTCGTGTCTTGCTTGTGGTGTGCTTGATTTAGGGCTTATGTTTTTGTGTGGCTGGAATTTCTTCTCTCGACTCTCTTTCCTCTTGTGTCCACTATGTCAAAGTGGTATTAAAGCAGGCTTATTGATCCACCATGGCAGTTAGGGAACATGGAAGAGGAGGTAGGCACAATAAAGATCAAATCGACATGATTCAAGTGCTACACAGACAAGCAGATCAGATGGAGCAACAAATTCAATCTTGTGTTGAGAACGACCCCATCAACCCGTTTGCAAACAAGGTTCAATCCGATGAGAATCTTTTCCACAGCCAAGTCAGGGGTTTTGATCTTCCCCTTGAGGACCACGTTGATCACTTTGATCTCATGGGTGGTTTGATCTTTGATAAAGAACGAGTTGAAGGTGAAGAGCAAGTTGGAATGGATCTTCAATTCGAATCACCATTAATTGATGTTACATGTGACACCATTTGTGATGAAGGTCCTATGTTTGATGTAGAACAAGATAAAAAAAAAAGAAATAGACCTTGAGGTAGCGAGGATATCTAATATTCTCATCAAAGGAGAGATGGAGAAGCAAGAGGTTGACTTGAACCCAAAGGAGACAGTGCCTATGAATAATAGAGGTGAAGAAAGAGAGAAGTTGTGGAAGGAGGCATAAAGGGGGAGAGGAGGGGCTGGGAATGCAACATATGAAAATGATTTTGATAAGGTGATCAAGAATTATAAGGAAGGCATGGAGGTTGATGATGAAGACATATCTTATGTCTCTGATAAAAAGTTTGATCACAAAGACATATCCTATTGAGTGGTTGTGTATCTACAAATGGGAAAGTTTGAATTTTGTGTTAAGGATCATGACAAGGCCTTCAGGATTGAAGAAGATCATGGGTTTAATGTAAGATTCATCTTGGCACACTTCAAAACTCGAGGATGAGTTTTCTCCAACGAATGTAGTCAGATGCAGGTGTTAGAATAGTCTTTTATTTTTCCTTTTGGATTTTAATTTTAGATTTCAAGAGTTGTATTTTTTTATTTTTTTATTTGTATTATTCAATACTTCATTCTTTCCTTTGTAAGAGGGAATGCCATTCTTTAGTTAACCATTCTTTAGTTAACAAGGGGACACAGTTGTCATCTAAATAGCTTTAGGTTTCAATACTTCATCCTTTTCTTTATAAGAGGGATGGCTGGAATTTCCATAGTTGTTGGGTACGGGAATGAGAACAGTTCTGGGATCGACGGATTGAAGCTATATTGAAGATCCCTATGTTAGGATTGATGCCCGTACAGTCTCAAAAGCCAGTATCGAGGTCCATGTGTGTTGGGGATCGAGCTCCTTTATTACATAGGATTGAGAATTATTATATAAAGGTGCGAGATCCTATACGTAAGAAGTGAAGTTTCCAAGGGCATTTTTTTTAGTTTCTTAACTCAGGGAGCGCATTACTAAAAGTGATCCAAAATATTATGGAGCGAGGAATAACGTTTATAGGAGCGAGCTCCATTTTCTTAGAACACGAGTTCCTCGTGTAGGCAATAAGGATCCGTGGCTTTAAAATGTAGCTGCCGGCATTGTTAACCAATAACATGTAGGCTTAGTCTTTTTATGAAATAAATAAGGAACTTTAAAGCGATCCCATATTGGTGGGATCTGGATGCCATATATGGTGAATCTTGTGTTCAGTTATTTTGGAATCTAGATTGCGAACCATAAGACTAGGAAACTAGATCCTGTAATGTTCAAGAATGCAAAATTAAATGGTAAGGAACTCGTTCCCTTATAAGATGGAGCGAGATCCCGAAAACGCTAAATTGAGTTTCAGACAAGATCTGCTCCAGGATCAGGAGAATCAAGGGTTTGCAAGGGATTGCCAAGCAAGGGAGGAGATCCCGGTAACTATGGGAATTTCTTCTCTCTACTTTCTTTCCTCTTGTTAAGTATTTGCTTAACTTCCCTGTCATAGTTATTAATCTGTCCTAACTGTCATAGTTATTAATTTGTCCAACTAGTCACAACCTACAACTTTTCATAGCTTTGTAATGGAGCTCTTGAAATTTCACTGAATAAATGTTGTAAAATGATATACTTTTCTTATCTAATGTAAAAGATTACATATTTTATAATGAGATCATAAGTTTTGTGAGAGCGCAGGTTTACATTGTCATATGTACTCACGAAGGAGCCCATCTTTATGGCTACATTCTCATACACAAAGAAGTGTAATATATTTGATCAATCAGTATGCTAAGCACAAACCAAAAACTTTAGCAATTAATGTAACTCTGATTGTGCTCTCTTTATGTCTTCATAACAGAATATCTTTTGCATCTGATTTGGCATGTATCGTTGGGACAATTATTTGCATAGAGATTTATTCTGATCAACTGTCATTTTTCAAACACCATGTTCCTTTTTGGTGGGAGAGGTTGATACGGGATTCAAAAGTCGGAGAAGTGTTACAACTATCAACATGATAACCTACCAGTTCCCATATCCCTTGCAACACCACAGTTCTTTGAGTTCTATGTACTGTTCAAGAACATTAATTTTATCTGTAGTGTATTATGAGGTCAGGGTATTTTGGAGTGTATATCCTTCATCTTCTTTATCTAGGTAAACAACTTGAGCATGCTGGCATTTTACTATTTCTTTCATGAAGTGCAGGTGGATTCTGTAGCTGAAGAAGTTGAAAGACAAAAGGCTGCCAATGATATGGTGAGCCTTTTCATTTTGTAGGTTGGGAGCTGACTGTTCTTATGTCCAAGGATGTTGTTTATAGCATGTAACATCTTATTGGTCTTCACATATTGTGGAAATTTATGCACCTAAACCAAACCGTATTGCCCAGGTATTTGTGTTTGGCGGTGTGGGTCCCATGCATTCTGATGTCTCAATGGCTGGTATTGCAAAGGCTTTTGGAGTACGTTTGGTAAGTGATCCTAGACAGCTGCTAGGTTTACTTACAAACTTGTGGTTACATGAGATTTGATATTGCATGGATATGGTTTTGGATTTTGGCAAGTAAAAATAACTGAGATCCTATGAAAAACCATAGTAAATCACTGTCATCTGTACAATGAAATGATGGATGATGATGGGGGGAGAGAGAGAGAGGGTCCCTCCATTGGAGTCATACCCAGTTCAATTGGATCTGAGTCTCTCTCATCACTTTTCATTTGTTCATTGGATTATTTGTATTATCCATTTGGTCTTTTGCCAGTAAATTTGCCTTGTAATCTTCTCCTAAAAATCTTGCATTTTGCAATAAAATTATTTAGATTATGCATATATCACCATATGCATGTATTTAGTGTCAAGTCACTGACTTTCTATCAAAATCAAGTGGCCCATTCTTCTATGATGCAGGAAGGAAAGGTGAGAAATTCAATCCACCATTTTCCTGAACCTTAAACAAATAAAATCAGCGATATTGGAGAAAGAACATGGTTGTAAATCAAGCTAAGGGAAGAACTTTCTTCTTTCATAAAATACATTCGTATAACATCTCTCTCAAAATGTGACATCCAACCTTTTATAAGCCTATGAAAACCTAAATTAACTTGAAACCCAAGTAAACAATTAAGACTCTAAATTATCCTTAAACAATACTAAATTTCCAAAAACACCCCTGTGAACAGTAATACGTGAATAGAATCGCGTGAACGGTATTCATGAATAGTAATCATGAATAGTAAATAAAGAAAATATAAAAACCCTAGAATCCAACAAAAACTTTAGAATTCTAGAAATAAACCCTAAAACTAAAATTGTAATATACATCCTTTGAAATTGAATAAAAATAAAAAATAAGAATAATTTTGCCCTCCATCATTCTCTCCTGGTTGGAGAAAACTCGTCCTCGAGTTTTGAAATGTGTTAAGCATCAAAACCACCTTCTTCAACTTTCTTCTTCTTTGTCGGTTCAAATATTATTCGTGGTAAAAATAATTCCTCAAGAAATGGATCCTTATAAGTATATTGAGGAATCGATGCGAATTTATGAAATTCGGCTATTCTTGAGCTTCCATTGAGAATCATGTAGGAAACTTCAAACCCAATTTTTTTGTACTTTAGGGGCTTTCTTGCCATCTATCTCATTACTCTCTGAAACTAGGGCCACAATTTGCAGAGTTTGAGTGGACCATAATTCCGTTGCATTACTCTGATTCCAATGTGCTAAATCTCCTAAATGCTCTACCTCTTCGATATCTTTAAGATCTTCATCTTTTTCTCTGTCAAAAATAAGTTTAACCACAAAATCTTGATCGTCATTAGAGATTGGATTTCTTACAACATCTTGTTCATCATCAATTATGTATCGAAAATGGGTGGCAGATCCCAATCTTCAACTTGATGATTTTCAATACGACCTATGGCAAAATCAACCTCATTCTCCTTCAAATCATGTAGATCCCATGATCTATCCTCCAGAACATGAGGCTCCCAATGCGGAGTGCGTGCATAGAATAGGTGGTTGAAAGCAACTTCATCATTCCGCTCCAACTCTGAGTTGGATTTTGATTCGTGCCGTTCTCCAAAAAACCCTCACGATTTGGATCTATCCCTGTAGATTCCTCTTCATTTAGGGCACGCTGCTGCTGGCCCCGCTTGCGCAGCAATAGCTCTATAATCCTCTTCGTCACGATGTTGATTTCCTTGCGCAGTTGGATCAGATCGGCATCCCTATGGCTAAGACCTCCACGACAGGCCATCCCAATCTCCAGCCACCCTCAAACCATGTTCTGACACCACTTGATGTAGGATGGAAAGGTGGGAAATTGAATCAACCATTTTCCTAAACCTTAAACAAACAAAATCAGCAAATATTGGAGAAAGAAATGGCTGTAAATCAAGCCAAGAGAAGAAATTTCTTCTTTCATAAAATAAAATTCATTTGCATGATATCTCTCCCAAAATGTGACATTCAACTTTTTATAAGCCTATGAAACCCAAAATTAACTTGAAACCCAAGTAAACAATTAAGACTCTAAAATACCCCTAAACAATACTAAAATTTCAAAAATACCCCTGTAAACAGTAACACATGAAAAATATTGCGTGAACAATACCATGAATAGTACTCATGAATAGTAAATAGAGAACATATAAAAAACCATAGAATCCAAAATAAACTTAAAAAAAAAAAAACCAAAAATTAAAACTATAATATACATCCTTTGAAATTGAATAAAAATAATAATAAGAATAAATTTTCCCTCCATCATTCTGATATAGCAAAACTTGTTACATGATCTTCTTTTGGAAATTCTGTGGGGAGGGATTCTTCCAATGTGACCTGTTTTTGGCATTAGACAAGAATAAAACAGTCGCTTCATTTGTGGCAATTTTCAGGCTCCTGATGAAGAGTTTGAAGAGTATCTTCGCCATCTTATTGGGGAAGAATGCTCAGGGGACCGTAATGAGGTGAGTTCATCTAGTAAGGTTGCTATTGAATGTTTTGATTGATAACAAAATGCATCCTGAGCTTCTTAAACTTGTTCTATTTTATGACCAGGGGTATGACGTGAGCAGTATTGAGTTATATCCTCATTTGCAAAAGAAATCGTATTTTTTCTGTGAGCACTTTGCTTGTGCATTCTACATCATAATAATTATGATTACCTTTTCATTTTTAATACCTTTCTTAAATCATGCTGTTTTCTGGTTTGTTTAATACTCTTACATTGTTAACGCCTTAAAACAATAGAACATTGTCCAAGGAGCGTGCATGTTTTATATCCTCATGCACATGAAAAATATTAATGTGGTCCATTTAAAAGTGTGATGTATCGTGTTTTTTATATTATTGGTTCCTGAATTATTATGAACCAAGCTTATTATACATTTGCAGATGGCTTTATTGCCAGAGGGCATTACAGAGTTATTGCACCATGACACTCTTCCAGTGCCTCTGGTATGTATGTTAGAGAGCAGATTCATGTGTTTCGTTCTTATGGTCTACTTTCTTCTGTTTCCTAAGAATTTCTTTCATAATGCTTATCTACTGAGACATTTTAACAAGCTATATCTATAATTTTATACTATGTAAATATGGTGAGGATATTTGTCTTTGTGATGCCAAAAACATCAGGGCCCTTGATTCTTTAAATGGGAATGACAACTCTCCAAGCAAAAAACTAACACTCCCAATGAATAAGAAAAGCATTTATCTAACCCATTTATATCTCCTAAACTTAAGCCACTAAATTTTCTCTCTTAAGATTAAGTGACTCTCTCTCTCTCTCTCTCTCTCTCTCTCTCTCTCTCTCTCTCTCTCACACACACACACACACACACACACACACACACATGCACCCATGCATCACAGAGGCTGAGAACTAGTTTATTAGTTGATTCACAACAGTAAGTTATTAAATCCTCTCTCTCTCACTATCTATCTCATATACAGACGTGACTGGCAGAGGCTAAGAACTAATTTATCTGTTTGACTCAAAAGATTAGTTGTTCAAGATTTCCACATGGCCCAACTGCAAAGATTTCCGTGTAACCTAACTCCTTGACTATGTTTAAATGGATAGACAAATGTGTCTTGTCATGCATTTGAAACCTTCACTCTTAGTTCAAGTCTTTGAGAACCTTATGCACTACTTCTAATTGTAGTCAACTGATATAATAATGGTCTTAGAGCTATTTCATTACTTTTTAGAAATACCAGTTAGCAATTACTGCTGTTTCAATAGGCCTTTTAGATTTTAGTCTGGTTTGATGACTCCTCTGACTATCTATTCATGTGAGTCCTCCCTCCAAAATCCATCTTAGAGATGGATTTTGTATTCAAAGTTTTAGGAATCAATAATATAGACCATGGGGATCGTGAATATGAAAAGAAAGAAAAATAAACTTTGAATTTTTAAAAGGTAATTTATTTTATTTTATTTTATTATTTTTGCAATGTTGCTTTTATGTTTAGGTTGGGTACACATTCCATCTAAAGATGGGCATTTGATGCGCATCAAATGCATCCCCTGACGCATCAAATACGTCCTCTTTAGATTTTAGAAAATCAAGTTGCCACAATATTGCACATGTTGGTATGTTTCTTTTCCTTGATTCACAAAATTTGAATACCTAGAAACTCATTTCAATCGTTTGGCTCTTCATAAAGAATTTTTAAGCTTCTGTTAGATCTATTGTGCATTGTATAGAAATTTTGTATATTACTTATCTCTTGGAAAGCATGGTCAACAGCTCTCATGCAAACATTTAAAGTTTACGCTCATCCATTTATGGTATTCAATTATTCCCATGGGAAATGCTAATGTATGTGGCTGCAAGGTCGTGGTACTAGGCGTTTGAACAGTGCTTCTTTTAGGATTTCTATGTTGTTTTCAGTGTTCTTGTTCGTCTGTAAGCAGATGCATGTGATTATGCAATGTAATACTGTAAGCAGATACACGTGACTCATTGATAGCATCTTATTATCTAACCAATTACCAAGTATATCCCCTCAAGGTGTCGGAGTATGGATGCTGATACATTGGTCAGTTATTTGCTAGGGGAAGGGAAGGATTTCTTGGGTTTCATGACTCTGAAGGGGACATAGTTTTCAGTGTTCTTGGACCTCTGTAAGCAATGCATGTGATTCCGTAGGCAGTTGCACGTGACTTACTGATAGCGACTTATTTTCTAACCAACTATTCAGTATATCACCTCAAGATGTCGGATTATGAATGCTGACACATCGGTCATAGTGATTTGCTAAGGGAAAGGAAGAATTTTTTGGGTTTGATGACCCATGTTAGATCAAGATTTAGCCCCATTGGCTGTAGTGATCTTTTTGGAGAGGACATCTTTCTGAAGTATTCTTGAGGACTGATGTCAATCTTTTTTTTATTAAATACATAATCTTACATAATGATTTTTCAGTTTTCAATGTGTGAGATATTTCGTGAAATCCCTTTTCTTAGGAACTTCGAATAACTGGTTCAAAGATATGTCATCCTTGTAATGGTCAGTCTGAATTATAGGGTTAGTTGTGATACATGCTGCTAGAGTCACTTCTTTATGGTTGGGGATGTGCTAAGGTAAGCAGGGGAACTGTGAAATTTATGCTATGGTTAAGGCAAACATCAGCAGGCAAAGCAGGCCCCACTAATTATTTTGATGGAAGCATCACTTAGTCCAAAAGAAAAGCATTCTCCAGTATTTCTGAAGATACTGGAGAATGGAAGTCTTACATTTGAGCAATGATCCAATGCAACGATTGTATCATAGTATAATGCAACGACACTTCTAGAAAACCATGTTTGTGGTATTTGTATGACCCCAAATTTTGCACACACACTCTCTTCATCTCAATAATCAATCCCCCCCAAAAAAAAAGTTCAATTTGAACCCTAGATATGGTCAAAATGAATCCCCTCCAAAAACGAATCTATACCATTTATTTTGTTAATTTCAAGATCTTAACCTTTATAAACTCAAAATCATTTTTTTCTTTTTTAACATTGTTCATCTAATGATAATAAAACCATCCCAAAAAATTGGAAATGAAAAAAAATCCTTCTAAGCCCTAGATCTAAGCATCTCACCAAAATGAACGGCCTATGTTAATTGGGCTAAAAAAATACTTTTTAGGTTGTGTTTTCAATTTCTTCTTTTTTTGTGATTGTTCATTAGAATGAAAAGAGTGTATATTTCAAATTTTGGATCAAACAAATGGCCATAAGATGGTTTTTTAAAGTTGTTGCATCATATTACTATACAACGGTTGCATGAAATCATTGCCCCTGACATTTATATGTGGTGGCTCTCATGCTTAAATTGATGGAAATTCTTTTGAGTTATTCCTAGGTATATCCTACAACTCATGCCCCTGGTCCTGCTCCTACCCATGATGAATCTGGTTAAGTGCTCGAGAGACAGATTGGTCCATTATAACATCCTTTTTTTGCGAATTCATTATAACACCGTTAATCTCCCCTTTTGCACTACTGAAAGTCTGAAACCAATAAAGGTTGAAATTCTCAATGTTGGTCCTCATATATCTTCATTAGTGCACAGCCTATTTGCTGATTTTCAGATAGTGTGTCTACTTATCCTTTTAAATGCTGACATTCATTGACATATATCAAAAGAAAAAAATTTATTGAGATGTGCCTCTTTGGTTCCCCATGAGTAAATGCTGTCATTCACCAAATTCAATTGTAGATCTTCTTCTGGTGTCTTCCTTCTGGAAATCCAGCTTTCTGATTGTTGGTCGCCATTGTATTGAGAAGTTCATGGCCATGTGAATGAGAATAAATTTAGTTGAGCTTGGAGTGTTAGTCATCCTTTAAAAGCACTGCACAGTTTGACTGTTCGAGTTTAGAGGGATGAAACACTTGTTAAAGAGACTGTATTGTCATTTCATTTGAAGAGCAAGAGACCACACCAAAGCTTCCCTACATTCTGGATGTGATAGTCATGTTTGATTTAAAACCCAAAGTACTTAAACCTGTTATGAGATGACTGGTCAACAGGCTATTTCTCATTCAGATTTAATTGCACGTTCCGCTCAACAAGTTCATCATCCCACAGATCATGGAAATAAACTGTTCACTTATATATTAGCAAATGCTCTTTCATCTTTTGATAGATTTACACTCCTTGACACATCCTAGAGAATAGGTATCATGGTTGCATAGGTTTATCCATAAGTTTCATAGGGCATGGATTCAAGTGCCTATAATGAAGACGCTGGGAGAGTCGTAGAATTTTAGTTATACTCAGGCAAGCATGGATTCTGACCATGAGCTGGCACATGCAAACTGGCAGGTAAAAATATCAAGCAGGCAGGTAGAAGTATTGTGGCAGATAATTGTAACTTGTAGAGGACTGAGAAATGAAAAGCAATAAAAAACAAGGTGAGAAATTCATGTCTTAGATTTTGGCTTCTCACTAGCATATCTAACGAAGCACACCATGATGCTTGGGGATGCATCGGTTTCTTCTGTATTGGGCAGTATTACCAAGACTGAACTTGATTGGCCTGGCCAACTGGTTGGACCGTCGACACGTGTCTTGACTGGTCAGGTATAGAGCAAAACAATGTTCGGTCAAAAACCCAGTCAAAACCTATGTTTTTCCAATTTTGGCTAGTTTGAGTATTCTTTTTTACTGGTTGGAGTAGCTAACTAACTTTGTTTGTAATATATTTCATAGTTTTAAGTTATCACTCCTATGTTTCATTTATTTAAAAGAAAACTATCCCCAAACGGTTGAACGGTTGATTGACCTCTTTTGACTAGACCAGACCTCTATCTGGTTCTATTGCCAGCTTGGTTCTAGTAACACTACTGGAGGGTGCAATTTTGTAGGTCCTGTTCCTTTTCGACATTTTGAAGATGAAGCAAAGAACTGATGAGAATCTTGGTACCCCTAAAAGAAACTGTATAATATTTCTGGATGATCTTGTGAACAAGAAAAATCATGCCACCATAGCTAAACATTGCAAAAAGATGGCTTTGGCAAAGAAGAGATGCATGGTTTCAGAAGATCTTTTGAAGATGAAAAGCATGCTTTTAAGGCCCCAAAAAATGATTTCAAAGGCATCTTCTTCTATAGAAGAATTTGATTCTTCCAAGGAAACTGGGAAGTGCGTTTCTGCAATAATAATAATTGATTTACTGAGAAATTGCAAGAGTGATGTCTCTGAGAGAGAGAATGTGAAGCCTGCACCAATGAAGAAGGTGCCTAAGCATAAGCATTGGAAAATGTCTTCCAGAAAAAGAAAAAGTTAATTAAATCAGTGTCAAGTATGGGATTGGCACAGGTTAAACCCAAGAAAAAGGGCACACTTACAGTAATCTTGAGAATTATGTTTTCTTTGACATTTACAAGATCTGTTGTGAACATGGGTTTCAAAATCTGTTGTGAACATGGAAATGCAAGAGAACTATGCCCTTTTTCTGTTTTGGACTCTCTTTACTGCAATAGCTTATGCTCTTTTTTCAAACATCATGGTCGTACTGTGTGTTTGATATTTTTTTACTTAATCAATGTTAATGCTTATTGCGTATGATTTTCTTTGCAAACTACTTAGGCACCATTGCAATTTGGGCTCTCAAATTGAATGTTTCACAAAACTGTAAGTTTTGCAAAAAAATTCATCCCTTTCTCTCTCTCTCTCTCTCTCTCTCATAATACACACACACACACACACACACACACACATATATATATATATATAGTAA